CAAGACCTTCGGTCCAGCCCTCATTCACATGTCATGGTTACATAGCAATTAAACAGGTTACTACAGTACAATTAAGATGGTGAGAATGCTTATCAGTAGAGACTCTCTCGAGGCCATGAGAAATGTGAAAAGCGAAGTTTCTCTCTGACCTTAAGGAGGAGGCATCCTTACATAGTATTACAAAGCACAGCTATCTACAGTTCAAACAGACATGTTTAAATCTCTCCTCCCCCCCAGGAATGTCAGAGGAGGATCCTTGGGAATAGACTGATACATTGCCAGCAGGTGCTACATGGGTCTGGGAACTATAAGCAGGGAGGAAACGCAGAGGCAACAATAAAGCAATTCAGCAAAGCAAAGCTATGTACATCAGAGAGCCATATTTGCAAATACAATGATCCACTGACTCAGGCAAGGGTCCGATTCTTGCAGTAGTGCGGTTGCCTTCACCTGGACTCTATTACATGTGGCTCTTTTTGTAGCAGGAATTCCTTTGCATATTAGGCGACACACCCCTAATGTAGCCAATCCTCCAAGAGCTTACAGAGCTCTTCTTACAGGAGCTACTGTAAGCTCTTGGAGGATTGGCTACACTAGGGGGTGTGTCGCTTAATATGCAAATGAGTACCTGCTAAAAAAGAGCCCTGTTAAGGCTGTGATAGAGTTGCCAGGTTCATCCTGGCAACCAGCAGAGGATGGGGGAGGACTTACCAGGAGCAGGAGGGGGGCTCAGGCAGTGTTGCCAGTGACATGTCTCTGTCACTTCCAATTTGCAACAGAAGTGACTTCATCATGCCGTGCCGTCATGGCGATGCTCTGGTATTTGGGCAAAAATTCTATGGTAAAAATGACTTCTACCATAGAGTTTTTGCCCAAATACCAGAGCATCACCCCGAACGTCGCTGCCATGATGATGTCACTTCAGTGTGCACTGGAAGTAACACCGCCGCATTGCGGGTGACATTGTCTGTGCCTTCTTCTTTTTCCTGGTAAGTCCCCCCGCCAGCCAGCTGATCGGAAGTAGGGGAAAGGGCCTGGCAACTGGGGATTCCCTCCTCCACCGGGGGGCTGGCAACCCTAGCCTGTGAAAATGGTGGAATGGGAGAAATCATGCAGGACTGACCACTGTCATTTTGAGGGAAGTAACTGTTATGTACGCGGACCGCCACCAGGGGTCCACGGCTACAGTGGGGAGCTTAACTCCTCTAAACAATAGAAGCCTAGGATCCTAGTTCCCCCAGCATTCACCAACAGCAACTTTGGCAGGAAATTCAAACCCTCCAATGGGACTGTGGGTGTGCTGGGTGGGTGTGTATGTAGTTGGCCTTGCAGGGCCATTTTGCAGTTCATGTGTGAAGTACAATAAACGCGTATCAATGCCCGTCGTGGTCCGAGTCTTCCATGTGTCAAACCCAGTACTTTACAGTAACCACGTGGTCAGCACTTCCCACCTCAGTGCTCCAGCTGTAACATAACCATAGCAACATGGAATAAAGCCACAGGAGAGCAACAATCAACCCATTCCCATACTGAAAGACTCAATCATTAGGCAGTGCAGAAACTGAGCAAGAGTAAAGGCCTCTCCTCACCGTCTTCACTGCACACGGCAGCTATAGTCTTCAATCCATTTACGGTAACTTTCATCAGCTTCTGCTGGGATGGTCACCACGGGCAGGCACATAACAGAGTGAGCCCATGTTGGCTTTTGGTGCGCTAATGTGGAAATAGTTTTCCAAATAGGTGCTTCAGAATAAGCACACGCATGCTGTATGACCTTAGGAGGAAGCTGATTTTGGCAAGCTAATGCTGCATGAAATTGGATCAGTGTGCAGGAGAGAGAGGGACTATGTCCCACACATAAGCAGAAGTGAGGACTTGAAAACGGTGACTGTGGATGCGTAATTACATTTGAAACTGGCCCATAGACAAAGTATGTTTTCCTTTGGAATCATTAGTAGAGACCACCTTCGGAATCTTATGGCTGTAAGGGGATATATAAATAATGTATATAGTACGATAGATTATGCTTAAAATATGTGTTTCAAGCCTTCAAGTCACATTGATCTCTCCTTCAGAGAGAAAACTAGGGATGGGTACAAATGGGGTTCATGGTGTGCCTGGTGAGTGAGCCACTTTTAAGAGCTAAATGAACCAGTTCAGTCTGTGGGGTTCTTGACATGGTAGAACAGCCCCCTGGCATGCTAGAAACACCAAACTCACAGGGGATCTCCATCTGACTCTCCTCAACCTGCCCTCCAAGTTTGGTGAGGATTGGATTTAAGGGAAGAAAGTTACAACCCCCCCCAAAAAAAAAGTAGGTGCCCCAACCTTCATTGTTTCCATTGGAGGGCAAAAAAGCAAGGGCAATAGAAGCCAAGCAGAACAGAGAATCTTTGTAGTACAAACTGAAGGTGGGGGTCATATTTGTAAGCCCAGCTGAACCAGTGCTATGCGCCCAGCAGAACCAGTGCCACTGTGGCAGTTCAAACCAACAGGAATAAGGTCAAACCAGATAATCTCTGCAGTAGAAACTGAAGGTGGGGTGGGCATTTTTGCAAGCCCAGCTGAACCAGTGCAATGTACTAGTGCCCAGCAGAACCCAGTTCCATTGTGGCAATGCCAGCTCAACAGGACTGATGTCTAGCACAGAATCATTCTCCAAGCAAAGGGGGGAGGTTGGAAGCCTAGCAGAGCCAGTGCAATGTGTCAGTGTCCAGCAGAACCCAGTGGCAATGTGGCAATGCCAGCTCAATTACAATCCTAGCGAGGGGGGGAGCTTTTTGCAATCCCAGCCAAACCAGTACAATGTACGGAGTGCTCAGCAGAATGCAGCGCCACTGGCACAATAGTGTTTCCAAGTCTGGAGAATTCAAAAAAAAACCCATTGTTTTGAAGTTCACCAAACATTTTGTTGAGCAGAGACAGTCTGTCTGGAAATGTAACCATTCACTAACCAGCATGAACCTCCATGAACCGCCTGAAAGTTCGTGCCATTTGACCTGCCACGAACTTCCATTAATGAACCATGAACCAGCCAAAATTCATCATGAACATTAGTTTGTGAGCCAGTTCATGCCCATCTGTAGACATAACTTGTGTGGACGGATGTGTTAGGGATAGAATTAACATAAATTGGTGCTAGGACTGAGCTACTAAAAAGACATGCAAAGAATGAAGAAGTAAATTTATATAGGTTACTTTTGAAAATGTAACATCCAAGAGCATTTCCCCCCCTTCCCCCTGATTTTTTAGAAAATGTTGCTGCTTTCTTGATGCATTCAAATTATGTAGTTTAGAATTTAGTGATAGGGTTCAAAAATCTAAAATGTATCTTTTACTTCAGGCAGAAGGAGTCCTGAATGGCCTGATTTAGGTGAGTGTTTCTTCTCCTATATGTAGAACTTATTACAACAGCTACCTTTACCGAACAGTGTTAGTGAAGAAAGAAATACATTCCTTGGCATTCCTTTCTTTGCTGTTCCAAAATAGGCTGACCCTGTTTTGTAATCATGTAACATGAGAGGAAGGGCTGTGGTGGCTCAAATGGTTAAGACGCTAAACTGCAGACCTGAAGATCAGTAGTTCAGCAGTTCAAGACCCAAGGGTCCGCATGACGGAGTGAGCTCCCATCTCTGGTCCCACCTCCTGCCAACCTAGCACTTCGAAAGCAAGAAATTGCAAGTAGATAAATAGGTACCACTTCAGTGGGAAGGTAACAGCATTCCATGCGCCTTGGTGTTTAGTCATGTCGGCCACATGACCAAGGAAATATCTTCAGACAGCGCTGGCTCTTTGGCTAGGAAACGGAGATGAGTTACTTTTTCCCACCATAGAGAACAATGGAGGGGATGGGGCAACCTGTTTGGGGGCCCGTAGAATTGGACCCCCTGGTCCAATGTTCTTCAAACATGGTTGGGTATCTTGGGGAGAGGCTGCAGCAGCTACCCTGGAGCCTCTCCCTCAAACCACCTCCCCTCCAGCCCCCTAGAATATACCCTATGTTTTCGCCATTGACTTCAATGACCCATAAGATATAATGGGGCCGAATTGCTGCCGAAATTCGGCAGCAATTCGGCAGCAAGCCGATTCAGATCAGAGAATTCAGATCAGATTCTCTGATCTGAATCGGCCTGCAGCAGCGCGAAAGGGGTCCGAATGGGCCATTTTCGGGGGTGCATTCGGTTCGGATGAACCAAATGCACATCCCTATTGGCAAGCTTCCATGGAAGAGTGCAGATTCAAACCTGGGTCTCCCAGATCCTAGTCTGACAATCTTAGGGCCCTTAGGAACAGCAAGGCGGCAAAATG